GTTAGAAGTGGCCCTGTCTATACCTAGGTTTTATTGGGCAGATAGAACTTAAAAATTGGATTGGAATGGCTTTAGACAGAGCATCCCAGCTTAATACCCACTCCCTATTGTCATACATTCTTAATCATTCTTTATTCATTTATTTACCTACCTAGTCCCTGATGGCCCACGAATTTGCAGCCCTGCAATGTGGCACACTCCCCAGAGCAATGTCTTCTTTGGGAAGCAGCTGTCTGCAAGGTTCTTTCTTGACCTGCACTGAAATCTTTCTATAGCTTCTGCCTACCCATCCTACTTCTGAGGTCCTATAGGTTCTACAGTAGAAGATTCATCTTTTTCTAAACTACAGTGTTTCACCTACTTAGAGAGTATGATCAGAGTCTCTCTGAGGCCTCCCCTTTTCCATATTAAGCATACTGTCTTCCTTCAACTGTTTCATAGGACACTGGATCCCCTCACCATTATCAGAACATGCCCTGTCATCCTCTTAAAGAGGGGTACTGGGAAGGGGGAAAATGCTGCAGGCATGGTCTAATTCCTTACAGTGCAAAGTGTAATCCAAAAGCCTGCAGCATGAAGTACCATTTAGGAGCTTGTTGTAAATGCAGAACCTTCAACCACCCTACCTGGGGTCTCCTGGATCAAGATCCTCCGGATGATCTGTATGCACAAACCACCTTGAGAACAAACTCTCTTGGCATTAATGTAGCCTAAGACCATATTAGCTTTTGAAGGTGATTATGTCCCACCGTTGACTCTGATTCCTGTTATCTGAAATCCTTATTTTGCCACACACACTGCTAAGCCACATCTTCCTATATTGGCTTCATTGAAGCGTTCAACAGGGTCATTACACTTTGAAGAGTCGTACATGTGCCTGGACTAAGGTCTTGAGGACAAAACACAGATCATGTTCACCCCTGTCTTTGGTTCCAAGCAAAGGCCCCGGTACATAACAGTTGCTTATGTAAGAATTAAGAAAAGAATAAATCAACTGCTGAAATGAGAAAGGAAATTGAGTCACGCTGTTAAAACAATTTGTGGCATGACTGGATCCGGGGCTCCGCTTCCGGGACTGGGACCCTCCTGCTCGTCACCTCTGCTCCCTTGACATCAGCTCTGTACCTGGGCAGCCCCCCGCTCTGTGTTCTCAAGACAGCTGCCATGGCTGCTCGGGGCCATAGCCTTGCTCATTCAAGTCCAGTGGGCAAAGAGTCATCTGGAAACCTCAGGGGATGGAAACTTTTTTCTTTTCTTTTCTCTTTCCGAAACCTCAGCAAATGTCCCCTCCAGTTTCATTAACTTTCATGGAGTTATCCACTCATATCTGAGCCAATCCCCGAGGCCAGGAAAAATTAATATCCTAATGGGTTCAAGCCAGTGAGGATCCACTCCTAGGGCTTTGAGTGACTGGAAATGGAGGAGGGTTCCACCAGGCAACCAGGGAATACTGTGGGAGGTGTGGTGGCGTGGCTGCTGGGGAGGCAGTGAACAGATGTCTACCACAATGCTCGGTAGGTCTGCATTTCCGTGGCCTTTGAGTCTTGCAACGGTCTTCCAGGATGGCCAACATTACAGCAATCACTAGCCTGGGCGATGGCCAGAAAACTTTTCTATTTTTAAATTTGACACACAAATTATTATGCTCCATCACATTGTTTCAGCGATCGACTTTAAAGGGCCCTGGCTTACCTCCTCCTGGAATAATAAAGTAGTCGCAGGAGTTCTTTGGGCCACTCCAAAAACCACTCCAGAGCGGTTTGCCACACATAATAGAGGGTGCACTTGAAAGGCAGCATCCAATGACCAGTTCTGGCTGAAAACTTTTGTGTTTTTTGAAAGTTCAATAAGCAACAGAAGTGACCACAATGCGTTTGAAACTTTATAGCATGTGTCTTCAGGAGACAAAGTGCCTAAAACTAGATGGAAAGACTTGTAATTTTTTAAATTAAAAACTGTAGACAGGAGAGGTAACAGTCAAAGTAAAATAAGCATGAATCCTACTTTTTTCTTTCAAAAATAAAACCCGAGGTATGGGGAAAATTGTAATATGGAATTCAGAAATCTGCTTTGGCCATATGTTACACTGCATGTTCGCTGTGCCTGCTCTCCTTGGGCCAAAAGGCTCTCAATGATGGGTCAAGCTTAGGTGGGGAAGACAAAACCGATGGGACCAAAGGCGCAGGGTGGGGGTGGGGGGCACACTTTCTGTCCTCAAGTCAGGGATCAGAGGGCAAACTTAACCGCCACCAGCCTCTTTAGACACTAGTGGTCTAGGTGGTCGGTGTGCAAAGGTGGAGGGACCAGCGGTGGACATCACTACTTCTCAAGACACTCAGGCCGGGTCAACTCCCCACAAGGAGGTCAGCTTTGTGATCTGCACGAATGGAAGGCAGCCAAAATCAGTACCCAGCCTTGTCCATCCCGTCTCAGAAATGGTTTGTGCGGATCCTGGCTCTACCATGTACTCAAGGAGGGAATTGGTTATAACCACTCCCTCTCAGCTTTGGGGCCCTCGTGTGTAAAATGAGGGCAATGATACTCATGTTGCAGACTGACGTGAGAAAAAAATTAAAAAAAAAAAAAAAATAGCTCATGTGACAAGTGCCTGAAAATGTCCAGGACAAAGCGAACCCTACAAAGACCATTCTCCCTCCTGCCCCGGCTCAGTCCCCTTCAGTGCTCTAACTTTATAAACATACAACTAAAGTGCTTTGGTGTGATCACAGACCTTTCGTAACTTCTCTCTGCCTTTGCTAGAATGCGTGCAGCACTCAGCTTGTACAATCATATATATTTTTCAAGGCATACCTTTTAGTGCTGCAGTAATTGGATTAGGGGGAAAAAAAACTGTGAAAAATCTTCCAGTTTTCACACGGACGTAAAAACAACACGAAATGATGGCAGGAGCATGGCTTCATCTCCTGCTGAACGTACCGTCTTGGGCAAGTTTAGTTTAATAGTAGATTTAATCACAGATTTTACAACAGCAGCAACAACAAACATTTCTCCTATTAGATTGTAAGATCCTTGAGAGTTGAGCTCTCTTTTATTCAAACTTCTATTCTCCTGAGGAACACAGGGAGAATACAGTCTCCGTCGAAGCCTGGCCAAAATGGTAGGAGAGGCTGAAGGGAAGGATAAAATGAAATACCTTGAAGGGCTTATTGCCTTGCAAGGCTGAAAAGGCTGCTTAATTGCTAGAAAATAAAAAACAAAGAAACCACCGTTGAGAAAGCGTGGACTTGTTGCCTGAGGACTACAGAAGTCACGATTTTTTTAAATTTCTTCAACTTCAAATCACTCTTGAGAAAGGGTCACCCTGGCCTCGAGACAGAAGGTTTCCTATCGGGTCTAGCTTTGATTCCATGACCTCTGGGAAAGCTCCTTCTTCTCTCCAAACTTCAGTTTCCTCAACCACACAGGATACGAAAGAACAAGTTTTCTAAAATCCCTTACAGCTGTAAAATTAGGTGTCCAAGACTTCTGCGCGTACTTGTGGCAGTAAGTCTCCCCTGAGAGAGGCACCGCACCCCCCCCCCCCCCCCCCCCCGCTAGACACTCCCGGGACAGACCTGGACTGTCCTTCCACAGGCTCATGGCTTCGTAAGCAATAAAACACAAGGATGCAAGTGACTGTGATTCAAGGTGGGAAGGGGGAACGGCCATCCAAGAGGCGCTCATGCGGAATGTGGGCCGTGCAGACGAGGGCCAGCTTTGTGGCGGGGCGGCATCCGTGCCTGTCTCCGGGTGGCGAATACGAAGCACGCACTACGCCAGACAGCGTGCCTCAGTACGAAAAACACCACACAACCGGGCCTGAGAGAAACAGAGCCAGGCCCTCACAGTGCCTGAGGCCGGCTGGCAGGAGGCAGACATCTGGAGCGGGAGGGAGGCCAGGCAGAGGGACCTGGACCTCAAGACGGGAGGGCAGAGCCTCCAGAAGCACACAGGAGCAAGCCCGCACTCGGCCTGTGCGCAGGCGGGCAAGGCACGGGCCAGCGGCGGGAGGAAAGGCAGACGGGTGGAGGGTGGAGCCCCTGACGTTGCCAGGCTGCAGGGTCTGGACCCGAATCCGTCCAACAGAACAACCTAACAATTCGAAGTGACCGAACGCTTAGGAAACGCGACGTGATCACTCATCCAGTACCCGAACACACCGTTTACTGTCACTACAAGGCAAACGGCAGAAGGAAAACACCCCCACGAAAAGTAACTGGAATGAGTTTATTTGCAGAAGAACGTCTGAACATCAGGGACAGTCCGACCCACAATGATCCAACAGCAGTCGTGACACGTCCTGGGAGGGCTCTTGCACGGTCGCCGGACCACGTCCGCGTGCAGCACCAGCTGGACAGTTCTCCAAATTCACAAAGCCATCTAACCTGAGTAGTACACAATATAGCATGAGCATGATACAGTAATAAAAATACAATATCAAATACTCACTACTCTGTGAACTATAGCTACTATAGAAACCATTTAGGCCTTTTTTTAAAAAATGAAAAAAAATAGATCTATTAGAGCTTTATTTCAAGCATTTTCAGGTGGATACAACTTTAGATATTTTCACTCACAAGAGATAGCAAAAGAATGCCTTCTGAAGTATCTGTAGATAAAATACGTTACTTGTTTAAATGTTTGCAGTCTGACGCGTACTTTGCCAGGTAGGAGTTCAGAGAAGAGAATGAAACCGTGCCGTTGCCAAATCCTGGCTGCTGACCAAGACTCGTGGAGTTTTCAGATTTGTCTAAAAAAGTTTACATCAGGTGAGAGAGAAGGGAGAACGTAAAGAGGACCAACGTTATTCTTTTCCAGTGAAGCCGTCTAAGTCCAGAGAAGGGCCATTTCGGATTCCAAGTGTGCCGTCCAGAAGTGGAATTCCATCCGGGCCAGGGAGCGGCCTGCGGGCGACTGAGGGAGCTGAGAGGAAAGCGTTAACTGAACAACAGAGATGGCCACGGAGAACACAAGCTTCCAGAGGCGCCGGGCCCACACAGAGGCGAGGGGCAGCCAGGACTACAGGGACAAAAGCAAGCTGTGCTCACTGAACTGCACACATAGAGCTCCTAGGAGGGTTAACAGTTCTTGACATGGGCTCCTGGTTGTAGTTTACAATATCTGCCTTCACCACTCTCTGTCATAAAAGAAAACAGAGTCATTATCAGGACATCAGACCATTTAGAAAGAGCTCCTTAAAGTATATTTTTATTTTCTGAACTCTGGTGAACTCCTGATGACAGACATCATAAATGAAGCCGGAGCGGATATTAGAAGAATCAATCAGAGAACAAACTCATGTAGAGCTCAGACGGTGGGGAGAGAGGGATGTGGGTTTTTGTTTTTTGTTTTTTGTTTTTTAAGGATGGAATATTAATTCCCTTGCCGAGTCTTCCCCGGTTTCATGACGCTAACTTGAGGTCACCAAAAGTCTAATAAAAAATTGACAAATCAACATGCCTTATAATTTAAGGCAAAAGAATTAAAATTAATCATTCAGCATATTTTAATTCATAGGTAAGACCTCATAATTTCGAAGTAAAAAAGTCATTATTTATTAATATTTAAATAGACCATTATTTCCAGCCGTAACTTTTTTAGAATGTTTGCAGCAATTTGTGAGTTAGTAAGAAAATGTGTAAATGTTAAATAGGAGTCACATATAAAGGAGAAATGTTTTGAGCAGCCCAATTTTTAAAACTTTCCTCCCAAATCCCTAACTTACTTCCAAAGAGCTCACTATTGGGTTATGAATAATGTTTCTAACAAAATACAGGAAGAAAAATTTAGAAGATTACCTCAGATTCGTGTTTTTAAAATAATTTCAACCAAAAGACACTTTTAACTCTTCTTTCCGTCCCTCTAACCCACACTTCAAGGAATATCTTCAATGATGAATTTAGCAATTATGCCCTAAGTAATAATTTAAACAGCTCCTTTACTGTTCTCAACTCTATTACTAAGTCTGCACACACGAGCAGACAAAGAAAGGTAATTCAAGGCAAATTTTTAAAATACTCTTTTGATTACCACGCTACTTCAGGAAAAATGGGAAGGAGTGAATAATGAAATAACTGTCTCAATTCTCCACTTCACTGCACATGCAATAAACACAACTATAAAGACAAATATGTTTGAAAGTAACCGAAATGTTATTTTAATTTGTTCCAATTCCTTGTTTAATTTGTCGGTCTCCTGGCAAAGAATCAATTTTCCAAAGTTCTAAAACAGGACTCACACAATATTAATTCCCGATAATGTACAATAATCATTTGAACTTCAGAATAAAGAACAAGATAGCAACCACTAGTTCTCCCGCCCTCCTCCCCCAAGTTGCAATCATTTGCCCATTAATACCTGCACTACTGTACTGAACAGATTCTACTCTGAGCAGAGTTGGTACGTTGATTATCTTCTTCCGGGTACTTCACTATTTCTGCCCTGACAATATGCTGCCAATTCCGTACGATACAAACAAGATGGAAGGAAGGAAGGAAGGAAGGAAGGAAGGAAGGAAGGAAGGAAGGAAGGAAGGAAGGAAGGAAGGAAGGAAGGAAGGAAGGAAGGAAGGAAGGAAGAAAAAAATGGAAAGTATGTTCAATGACGATAATAGAAGGGGGCATCAAAGAAGAAAAAGAAATACACACATAACTTTCAACACGTCACAAAAGAAACAGCAGAATATATGCATATAAAAGGAAAGAAAATGAACAAAGACCCAGGAAACGTAATTCTTTGCAACTCTATTTAGTTATTGAAATAGACATGGCTACTGACCCTCCCAGACGGGCTGTGAGTTCTATTTTTGGTGTCACAGTTACACATAATATACGTGGTGCCCAGAATTTCAGAGGACAACAAGGAATTACAGGGCTTTTCTATGCTTAAGCGCAGTGAAAGTACTTAATTCCATCTCCTTCGACATTACTGAAGACCCCTCTTTGTGCCAGTCATCCTGTACTGGGAATGTGTGGGGGAGGTCACAGGCTCTGTTCACAAGGAGTTCTGGACTTAATGGGCAGAGAAACACGTACACAGCTAATTGCCATACAAGATAAGTGCTCTACTAGTGGACTTATACTACGCTGTGGGAACACAGGGGAAGGAGTAATTAATTTTCTCTGAAGGTGGGGAGAGGATGCATAAATCCGAGGAAGCCATGGGTCATGATCTTTACATTTAATAATGTCTATTCCTTGTCAAAGATTTAATTTTGAGGCTCATTCCCTCATCCCACACAACCCTTACCTTCACGCTTCCAAATTCCATATAGAAGTAAACAAGCTGCAAAGCATACTTTTCTATCATTTAAAAAAAAAACTCCTGACAAACAATATTTAAGCCCAAGAGCTGTTGTTTCAAATATCTAAGTGTTTGGTTGAATGAAAAAGCACAACTAGTTTGCTCGGTTTGGATCGCTATGACCCTGAAGATAAGAAGAGAACGTATCACAAGCAGGTATGATAAACATCCCCTCGAGTGTGGTAGACTTGAAATTATCCTCTCTTGTTTTATGATTTCAAATACCTGATTTCAGAAGAACTCTCTTCATAGTCGTATCTATTAACACATATTGAAAAGCACGTTACTCTGGGCAGCTGTTTGCGACGACATTTCTAGAGACTGTGGACAAACAACCGAAAGCAAACAAAGAGGGTGCTCTGGTGTGTTAGCCTTGGATGGGCTCCGCTCCAGTTCTCTAGCAAGCAGCATTAACTTCTGGACAAGACTCGTGATTTACTAGGCATTTGGCCCGATGCTATCAACAGAAGCATTACCAACTGCCACATGAGGTATTAACGTTGAACACCATTATCTGACCTCCTCAAACCTAACCGTTTCAGGCCAAACTATGGGTTACAACAAAGAAAAGGGATTTTCATAATCAGTAAGCAACTCATTAATCCTCCGCAATGTTGTTTAAAACCTATCCTATAAACACAACCAGGTTACTGACCTGTGGTCAAGACATTTTGGTTGAAGTATTGACTAACATAAATGAATTGGATTTTCACCATTAATTTTCATCAAATTAACGGAGAACTAACAAGGCGATATCTTTCTCGGAGGCATTGGCTGTCTGACATAAAGCTTTATACGAAGTTTTTGAACTGGAAGTTAGACCAAGGCTCTGCAGATTCAAAACTTTGCTTTCTATGAGGCGAAAAACATAACTTCCATGCAGTAAACTTCATGGTAGGTGATTTCATAGTAGTCAGCTTGTTTACAAGCCACTCAGTGATGTCTTCAGAGAAAATGTTACCTACAAAACATCAACTTCTACTTGTGGAGCCACAAAGTACACTCTGCTATTATTCTCTGCTATTAATCAATGGAGTCAAAATAAAGAAGTGGCCCTAAGGGGAAAGAACACCAGCTTAACCCTTATTTGTCGAAGTGTATTTATGAGTGGATACTGAAAACGAACTTGTAGCTATGTAGAGGGCAAGCAAGAAAGCAACCCAGGAGCTGGGGCCATACGGTGTAAGGAGTAGATAGACTCGTGGGAAGACACTAAAGACAAATTTGGCCAATTCTGTAATTGTGTCCTAATCCAGACAGCAGCAACACATTTACTATGGTAAAACTCGTAGTCTGTCATGTTCAGGATGTGGAGTAAACATCCCCTGAAGGCTAAAACACCTGTCACTATCACTCATTCAAAGCCAATCACTATTCTAGATATCGAAGACATTCAGATAAATAATATATAATCTCTGGTTTTGAGATGCCTAAGAGTCTAGCATGGAACACAGGTACGTAAAATATTAAAGAACATCATGATGGATAAACGCTCAAAGTGGAACAAAATTGTAGAGTACCATTTAAAGCATGGATGTTGCGTTTTTTTAAAGCAAGTATTTTGCACACCGCAGGAATTCAAGGGAAACTTCTTTTCTTTTTCTTCCGTACAATGTGCCATCAGATGCTGCCAGTAGCTTTCATTACTTTGGGTGAAAGTTACTTTACCGCTTTGGTGCTCGCAACCTCCTGGTCTATAAAACACGAGGTTTATCTACTTGGTCTCTAAAGTCCCACCTTTAGATCCGGACACCATACGAGAAAGTAACTTTAAAAGGTGAGGAGAGAACGAAAAACATGGGATATGATACGGAGATCCATGAAGCAATGTTCAGTATCCGAGAATCAGAGTAGTATGTACAAAGTGAGTAAATACGTTTCACAAGGAAGACAAGGATGTTCAGGGTAAGAAAAGAATCCCCGTGCAGTTTTTGTGAACAGGCTGAAAAAATTTATAAAGATTAACGTGTAGGTTAAGAAGAATCTATGTTCCTCATGGCTCCTTAAGGAAGATCAGTTTTCAGATACAGCTAAAGAGAGGGACCCTAGGACCAGAGGTCAAACAGTGCTTGAGTCGTACAGTCATGTGCTGACTTTAGTTAAGTCTTGAGCATGCCTACCACATACCAGGTCCTATACTAGGTAAGTTCATATATAGTATGAAAATACTCAGAGGGGACATAAGGAATACATATATTTTTAGCAAGTTTAGTATCTCAGACATGAGAGAAATTTTTGTTTTAAAGAAACTAGTGCTTACCAAGTTCGAACCAAACAGAAATACAACAGTTTATTAACTGGCAAGTGAAAAATGTCAAGGCTTAAAAATGTATTAAGAACTCGTAACACCAAGTATATATGGCAAGGCCTCCTTGCAATTCAGACTGAAAGAAGGAAGACACAGGACGATGTATTTTCTTCTTAGATGATCTGATGGATTACTGAAAAGCTAAATGCTGTACGTTTTAGAGAACAGCAATTGGAAATTCATTCTTTCCCCTAAAGGTCTGACTACTTTGTAAACAAACAAACCAAAAACTTACGCAACATGGGAAATGAGGACATCTGTTAACAACTAGTCCTAACTTTTATAGGATGCTACAGGAGAAGAGTTGAGGGGAGGGGTGGGGCAGGGCGGAGAACAGATAAAGGATACAAATGCAGCTATTGCTTAAATCAGGGATCGTGGAAAAGGCATCCAGAGTGCACATTAAGTGTCTAAATAGCTGTCTGTCCCCGCTGATTCTGGGAGCTCCTTGAGGACAAGGACTTTAATGCATTTCTCTCTGTATCCCCAGACGCTGCTGTGGTCCCTGGCATGAAGGAGGCCATCAAACAGTGTCTGCTGTATTAATGAACTGTGTGCCCTTTCTTTCCTCCCTTTTCCCTTTTCCCTTCCTTGCAAAGCTTGCAAAACGTGCTGGTAACTTGTTTTCTAGAACTTCCTGAGAGGAACAATGCAGGTTAGAACTAAAATAGCAGAATCTCTTTACATAATCACTGAATGGAACTAAGACTCTAATCTGATTATAAATACCTATGTCACAAACTCAATTACTAAAGAATCAATTCCCATGTGTCTGGTGAGTCTACCATCCAGCTCCTCCTCCATAAAATAATACAAAACACTATCAAATGTTATACTAAATTCCCCCAGGTATCCTTCAAATGGCATAAAAAACACAGAAAACAAGTGTCCATGGGCTCTCCCACCCTGCCTTGCCTCCATGCCCCACCCCCCCCCCTCCTTCTCTCTCACTCACCAGTTAGAATGGCCATCATCAAGAAGAAAGAGATAAATGTTGGTGAGGATGTGGAGAAGTAGGAACCCTTCTGCACTACTGGTGGGAACGTACATTGGTACAGCCACTATGAAAGACAGTATGGCAGTTCCCCCCAAAATTAAAAACAGAACCACCATATATATGAGTTAGTAATCCCACTTCGGGGTATTTAGCCAAAGAAAAACACTAATTTGAAAAGGTATATGCATCCCCATGTTCATTGCAACATTATTTACAATAGCCCAAGATACTCAAACAACCCAAGTGTCCATCAACAGATGAATGGATAAAAAAAAAATGTAGTGAAAATATATATAATGGAGTGTTATTAAGCCACGAAAAAGGAAGACATTCTGTCATTTGCAACAACATGGATATCCTTTTGAACTCATTAGGCTAAATGAGAGATGTCAGCCAGACGAGCACTGTGTGGTATCACTTATGTGTGAAATTTTAAAAAGTCAACGTGTGAAAACAGAGAATAAAATGGCAGTTGCCAGGGGATAGGAGATGGGGAGGACCAAAGAGATGTCGTTTAAGGGTACAAACTTTCAACAAGTAGTAAATAGACTCTAGAGATGAAACGCATAGTACCTTGAGGATAGACAACAGTATTGTATTATAATCATGAGACTTGTTAAGACACTAGAACTTAATTATTCCAACTACTAAAAAGAAAGGATAATGATGTAATGTGACAGAGGTGCTAATTATCACTACAACTGCAACCATATTACAATATGTAAATGTATCAAATTAATGTGTCATACACCTTAAGTTTATCCAATGTTATATACCAAATAAATTTCAATTAAAAAAAAAAAAAAAAAGAAAGAAAGAAAGAAAGAACTCTGGGCTCACCACAGCTGGCTGGCTTGCAAGTAAGGTTCTTAGAAATCTCTTTTTAAAAAATAAACTTTCAAAAATGTTTCCACTGAGAAACATTCATTGTGCAATCAGTAATTTAATTGGCAAAGACACCAAATTCGTCAGGTTCAGGAAAGAAAAATGAGGCTTCCCTACACAAAGGATTCTGACAAACACAACAAAGGAGGGCTCTAGTAACTTGAATTCCTTCTCAAAGAAATGAATTCAAAGTAAACGCCACCAACAAACTGAAGATTGAATTAAATGTCGTCACATAATAAACAAGATGACAGGGTGCACTAAACAAACAAGGTTTACAAGGTGTACAGGAAGTATAGAGAGCCATGTAATTTACACATCTGGATACCTCCACAGTTAAAATATGCCTAGATTGCTTCAGATTCTGTGTCCCCCTCTTGTGCTCTGTCTCTCTCAAAAATAAACAATAAAATTTTTTTTTAAAAAAAGGGGGTGCCTGGGTGGCTCAGTCAGTTAAGCAGCCAACTTCAGATCAGGTCATGATCTCACGGTTCATGGGTTCGAGCCCCACGTCGGGCTCTGTGCTGGCAGCTCGGAGCCTGGAGTCTGCTTCGGATTTTGAGTCTCCCTCTCTCTCTGCCCCTCCCCAACTTGGGTGGGCTCTCTCTCTCTCGCTCGCTCTCTCTCTCTCTCAAAAATAAATAAACATTAAATTTTTTTTAAAAAAATATGCCTAGATGTTAAATCCATCTCTAACGTCAAAATAGTAGCTATCTGGCTCTGGTGACTGAGAGGGAGCTAAGAACCTTAAAGCCTCCCTAAAATTTTGCCGTCAAAAGTATCCCAAGTTAGTCCATATCTCTGGAGTTTTTCTTGAAACTGACCACTGTTGTGAAGATGAGGCAGTACAGAGAACTTTCTCCCGGAGTGGCTGCCTGCGATGTATCAGCACACCTTCCACTCTAGGGAGGGCCCACCAGTCACCAGGGCTCTCCTTTGTCCATCCCCTTAGGAGGGAAATTGCAAAGTAATCTTGGACTTGTCTCTTTCATCCAGTCGATCCACAAGCCCTGTTGATTCTGCTCTCTTACATCCATTATTTCCCTTCCTCTCTGAGTCTGGTCCTTATCACATGAAGGCAGTATAGTCTCCTTGCTTCAATCTCTTTCCCTACCAACCACACACACTCTCACACACACACACACTCACACACACGTGTGTGCACACAGCCATTCGATTACTCCTACCTAAAAACTGCTTTCATTTTATGTCCCAGCTTTAAAAAATGATTTCCTACTATCTACATGTTACATAAAATGTATCCACTTGGCATTCATAAATCTCCATAATCGTTTTTCAAATCCCTTTCACTCTACAATGCAATGGTCATTTATTTTAACCAAACTGCCCTTCTGCTTCTAAAATATAACTTAAGCTTTTCAGCTTGTCCATACGAGCTTCTCTTTCCGTCATTTTCTTCCTCCTACTTCAACCTGCCCAGCAAATCTTCCAATAGAGCAGCGTCATTCTCAAATGACCCTGAGTTCAAATCCTGCCTCCACCACTGCCTAATCATAGGTCAGTGAAATCAAGTTACTCAATCTCAACAGTTTCCATACCCTGCCCATAAAATGATGAAATACTGCCTGCCCCAGGGAGTTAAGAAGATGGTTGAATGAGGTAACACAATGCCTAGTACATGATCATAATTTTCTTCACTTAAGGCAGAAACTAAATTCCTTTAAATCTTCTTTAGACCCACCACTATACCACATCTATATGATCAATATGATAATCACTCATGGACTCTCTAATTAACCAGAGACAAACATCATTTAGAAAGAGAAGCTAGGGGCACCTGGGTGGCTCAGTCAGTAAAGCATCTGACTCTTGATCTCGGCTCAGGTTATGATCTTATGGTCCGTGAGATCAAGCCCTACATCAGGCTCCTCGCTGACAGGGCAGAACCTGTTTGGGATTCTCTCTCTCCCTCCCTCTCTGCCCCTCCCCCACTTGTGCATGTATGCACACGTGTTCACTTGTGTGCTCTCTCTCTCAAAATAAATAAATAAACTTAAAAAACAGAACAAAAAAAAAGGAGCTAAAAAGGAGAGGAAATCATTCGAGCTCTGGAGTCTGCCAAGTTCTGTTCAATCAAGCAAGTCATGGTCATTGCTCTTTCTTGTAGCCATCCTCCTGGGCCAAAGCCAAGCACAGTTGACCTTGGGTTTGAAATGCACCAGTCCACTTATACTGGATTTTTTTTTTTTTTTTAAATACAGTAATATAAATGTATTTCCTCTTATGATTTTCTTAACAAACATTTTCTTTTCTCTAGCTTTCTTTATTGAAGAATATAGTATATAATACATATAACATACGAAAATCAACTGGTTATGTTATCAGTAAGGCTTCCAATCAACACTAGGCTATTAGTAGTTAAGTTTTGGGAACACGAAAAGTTACACGTGGATTTTCGACTCTCCAGAGGGTGATGTCAGTGCCCCTAGCTCCCGTGTTGTTCAAGAGTCAACTGTAGCTATTTTTATATGTCTGAGAGCAATTTACATGGCATAAAATATCTTAACACTGTGCCTTACCATAATAAGTCTTAAAAGCTAAGAAATAAAAGATTTCCACAGTTTCAATATTATAATCAAGTCCTAGAAACAGCCACATCAGCGTAACAATTTTCAATTGATATTTGCTGTTTTAAAACACACACACACACACACACACACGCACACACACAGAGTCACCATAAAAATAAGAAACAGAACACTGAAAGAATTAAAGAAAAATATAAAAAGGGAAAAGGACAATTATACCCTTTTAGCTGTATGGGTTGGGGACAGAGCGGAGGGGATTGAGGAAAAATGTAATTTATTTGTTGCCTTCTCAGCAAACCAAAAGCTTAATGTTATACGATAGACTCTTTCTCTGATTTCTCATTCTATCAAACATGTGAATTGCATAATATTATGGTGGTATTTTAAATGCTTGATTGTTGGTATTCGCATTTGTTTCTTAGTCTAAGAATTTCTAGAAATAGTGAAAGAATTCAGAAATTCTCAATAATTAATACCATCATTAAACTGTGTATTAAATTAATGATAAAATAACATCAAGAATTAATATCTTTACGGGGGGGATGTTTTAGAGAAGAATGGAGAACAGAGACATAAAGAAAACATAATGTTTTACCAAAGCAAACATGGAGTAAATGCTGAGACTGAACTTTGATAAATCTCTGGCATTTTATATGAAACACAAAAAATATTATAGTGCAGTAATCCTGGAAGAACTTAAATAAGGAAGTATAAAACAACATGATCAACATCTTAACCCATTATTTAATCACTGATGAAATTTGTATTATATTAATCTCAACTTTAGGACAAAATGGAGTTTGAAGGGCATCATAATTTGGCAAAATTATTCACATCTTCCACCTTCCACAATAAACACTGATTCACACACACAATTTATTCCTAAGGCTGTTAGGGATATGTACATAGAATGCATAATTGTGAAGGGAGTCAGTGATGAAAATTAATGCCTTTTAGGAAATAAATTGTTTTTTAAAAATATAAAGTTCAAATATAATCACCTGCGACTGTTCTATTTCTGCTTTGTTTAACTTGATTCCAAGGATTTCAGCAGCAACTTTCTGAAAACACAGGAAGACCTACATAACAAAAATAGGCTTAAATGATTTAAAACAGACATGCTTAAGTTCCTTCAAATAAATTGAATTTTCTAAAAAATGATAAACAGCAAGAATTGCAAAAATATGATGTACCAGGTTATTCCAAAAATAGCTTTGTCAAATACACTAACATTTTAAGAGTAATAATTTTTTTTAATATTGAATCATAATTTGAAAATCATACAATTCACTAAATTGATCTAAACATAAAGTGGTGCCTGGGTGGCTCAGTCAGTTAAGCATCCGACTTCAGCTCAGGTCATAATCTCGCGGTTCGTGAGTTCAAGCCCCGTGTTGGGCTCTGTGCTGATGACTCAAAGCCTGGAGCCTGTTTCAGATTCTGTGTTTTCCTCTCTCTCTGACCCTCCCCCGTTCATGCTCTGTCTCTCTGTCTCAAAAATAAATAAACGTTAAAAAAAAAAAAAAAAAGATTTTAAACATAAAGACATTTATCCCTAAAAATTTTAATATTTAAGATTTTAACATGAAACAATTAATTATAGATACCACATTAAAAACAAAACAAACAAACAAAAACTACTAGTATAACAAACTCCTAGAAGTCCTGGAGAAGATGAAAATAAATTAGCCTATACTTCAGTACCCAGGTTTTTCACTGCCAATTCTGTATCCGTTTTTGGTCTAGGTTTAGCCTATCTCAAAAGGTCTTACTTTCCAACCCTTTAATAATCTTTGTGGCTCTCATGGATTTCAATAAATCCTCCGTATATCTTGAGCAAAACAACTTAGTAATGTCTACTGTATTTTATCAGTGCAGAGTAAAAGAACAGTAAACTGTTATCACTAAACAGAAATCAACAATACTTTTCTATAAATAGCCTTTCATACATATGTGACTTATAATGGGCCCACTATGATTCCTAGGGCTCCAATCGCACACTGACTATGATGTATAACTTGTCTTGCTTCATAAGTGTCTTATCATATTCTTACTCCTACTTATCTCATGATTGCTTACTGAATACTTATTGCAACAAATTTAATTTTGATTTCTAATAAAAAAAAAAGATATACATATACCCAACAGGCATATGTTGTTTACATCCTAAAAAGCATTATGCATGATAGTCTGATGGTCAACAGTCAAGGAAAACAAGGAAGCTGGTGTGTTGGAATGGAGACAAAGAGAGGGTTTGTGGAAGAAAATGAGCAAAGAGATGAAGGCAATACAAATCACAAGATCTGGCAGGCTATGGAGGACTTTGGCTTTTACTCTGAGTTAAATGGAAGCCATGGGAAGATGGCCTGATGTGACTTCTATTTTAATGCGGTCAATCTGATGGTTGTATTGAGTATTCTCACTGTAGAAGATCAAGGGTACAAAAAGAGAAGCCAGCAAGGACACTGATGTAAGAGATGATGGCAGCTTGAAACGAAGTGGCAGCAAGGAGAGGGTAAAAAATAGTCACCAAATCCTGCACATATCACGAAAGTAGAGCCAACAGGACTTGGCAATAGACAGATGTGGGGTGTGGGATGTAAAAGAAAGACAGGAGTTGAGACTGATTCTAAAATTTTCTCGGCCTTAGCAACAGTAGAAGATCTGCCGTTTATTGAACTGGGGAAGACAATGAGGGATTTTAGGAGGGACTATCAAGAGTTCAGTTCTGAACCTGAATTAAGTTAGGGCTGCTTATTAGACATCTAAGTGGAGGTGCTGAGCAGACAATTGGATATATGAGTCTTGAGTTTAGGGAAGAGGTCTGGTCAAAGCCCTGAGCCTAAATGAGATGACCAAGGGAGTAAGTTTAGAAAAAGATACCCAAGGACTGAGCCCTAGGGCACTCCAATATTCAGAAGTTGGAGAGAAAAGGAATCAGCAAAATGAAATGAAAGAGAGTAGCTAGCAAGGGAAGAGGAGAACCAGGAAGGGCAGTATCCTGGAAGGTAATGAGGAAAGTATTTCAAAGAAGAGAGAGTGATCAGCTATTTTACGTGCCACAACTAAGTCCAGTAAGATGAGGACTAAGAACTGACCACCGCATTAAGCAAAAAGGAGGTCACTGGTGACTTTAATAACAGTAGTGTGCATCAAATACTGGGGGCAAAAGTCCAACCGCAACTGTTCAAGAGAAACTGCAAAGAAAGAACTGGGAGCTACTCTTTCAAAACATCCCACTGAAACCAGGGGAAAGAAAGAAAGCTAGAGCTCGAGAAGGATGTGGGCTCCACAGTTCCTTGTCTTTAAGATAAGAGAAGTCATAATATTTGATATGCAGATAGAATAATCCAATAGACAGAAAACAAGCAATGATGTAGGAAGAAGAGAGAACTGCTGAGCCATGTTCTTCACTAGGCAAGGAGAAATGGGATTAACACACACTGAGCCTGGGAGCACAGAAGGTCTCCCACAGTAATCGTAGAGAAGACAGGAAATATGGGAACAGAGGCAGCAAACACGGCAAGTAGGGGTAAATGTGGCAAGAGTATGCAGCTGTCTTCTGTTGGCTTCAAATTCCTTATAAACTAGGAAAAAAGGCCATCAGCAGAGAGAATGGACGAGGAAATGCTGAAGATCTGAGGAGAGAAGAGAAGTGATAAAAAGTCAACAGCTCATCCTCAGTGAGCAGCAGAGACATGGCCTAGGGACACGTGGCATAATTACCGGGCAGCATTAAGGGCCTACCTCAGGTTGAGGAGTATGAATTTTGAGTGAAACAGCTAGCATGCCTCTGTTCAAATACTTGGGTACGGCCACAAAACAGTGGGGGCTGGCTTTAAACCAGAGTGAAGACTTAGCCAAGTGAGTCTGATACTCTCAAAGTGGGGAAATGGAATTAAGGGCATATGCACAACATAATTTTGATTGCACCTGAGATTTAAGTTAGGAAAAGAGGAAAGTGAGAACATGACAGGAGGTGAGGAACATTAAAAATATGTTCAGATCAGGGTCTATAGGTCCTGCCCAGACTGCAGATTGACTGGATTAGGGCAGTCAGGGGTATGAGCTGGAAAGATAGGAGGGTGGTCAGCGATTAGGACGTCTGACACTGAGACAGAGATAACAAAAGAGCTGCAGTGATTTGTAATGACAGAGCATGGGAGCCAGTGGCTGAGGTGGAGTGGAGGACAAAGAACATGAAATCACCGAGGATTATGACCAAGGTAGTATTAGAGAAAAGTACAGTAAATTAGGAGTGCAACTCCTCAGGCGACGAGGGGAATAACCTCTAGATGGAGAGGACTACAAGTGTCAAAGTGATTCCATAAGAACAAATGACTTCAAAGTTGCATTTAAAAAGAAAATAATGAGGATTTTTAGTGGTGGCTCAACGTAAGTACACAAAAAGTACTGAGTGGTTAAACACAAACTAAAATACTGGAAGTTAAAATAATTCTAAAATGACAAAAGACTCCAAGGAAGATAAATGAGAGTAGAAGCCCAGCCCATGGATAGACTTACCAAGGAGTGCTGATTTTTGTATATTTTTAAGTGGCATGTGTATGTGCTGATGTTTGCATTATCTTGGGGAAAAGGTTTTTCCGATAATAATCAGAAAATAAATAGATAATGAAATCTTTAAAAGTTTAACCTTGATCAATCAAAGAAATTAAAATAGGAAAATACTTTTTTTTTTTTTTTTTGCCTACCAAATTGACAAAGATTTAAAAGTAAATACATAAATCCTGGATGCTAGGGGCGCCTGGGTGGCGCAGTCGGTTGAGCGTCCGACTTCAGCCAGGTCACGATCTCGCAGTCCGTGAGTTCGAGCCCCGCGTCAGGCTCTGGGCTGATGGCTCGGAGCCTGGAGCCTGTTTCTCCCTGATTCTGTGTCTCCCTCTCTCTCTGCCCCTCCCCCGTTCATGCTCTGTCTCTCTCTGTCCCAAAAATAAATAAAATCGTTGAAAAAAAAAATTTAAAAAAAAAAAAAAAATCCTGGATGCTAAAAAATAGTGCCATGATATGGCACTCATACAAATGTTGGTGGTAGTATGGATTATTAAATCTATTTAGTAATATTAAGTGACATGGCAAAACTTTCTGCATATAAATTTTTAAATAAAAGTAAAATGCAAAATTATTTCTACATTATGATCTTAATTTTTTAAATAAACATTTAGTGCAGTTCAAAACGCTGGAGTGTCACTGCTTGGGTTTACAAATCCTATCCCCACCACTCATTAGCTGTGCACCCTGGACCCCATTACATCATCTCTCCAGGACTCATCCTTAGCACAGAGATAGCGAGAGAATGAGAGAACCACAGTGCAGTCACGAAGCAAGCATTCAGTGAGTTCAATTCACTAGCAGCAACAGCAGTAATGTTGAGTATTTGTGCGCATCAGAAAAAGAAAACTATAAGGAATCATATGAGGTTGTGAGTGGTCACCTCTGGATGCTGACATAATGTATGATTTATACGTTCTTTTTCTTTTCTTATGTTCTTTTTAACTCTCATATTTTTAAATTCCCTAAAATATCCATAAAATTACGTTAAATGAATTGCAAATGTAATACAGACCAATTAAACATTATATCTATTTTATATCTTCAACAGGAATCAATTTGTTCCAAAAGTTATGTCTGGGAAGTATACTTCCTATGAATATTAGTAATAAACAAAAGATCACTTATAATATGCAGTATTCATTATTTTACTTACAGAGTCTCCTGTCTTTGCTGAGACAAAGTGGCTACTAAAACCATTTTCCTGGCAAAACCGTAAATGTTTATCAGGTTTTACTGTTCGCATATGCTCCAAATCAACTAGAAAAGTGAACAAAAACAAACAGAACAAAACTCAGTATCAGAGTCAATCAATACATTGTTAACAAGTTTAACTGTGACTTACTTTCCAATATTATATCCCAGCTTAGACACTATCTGTGTAACCTTGAGCAATTTCTTTAACCTCTTTATGCTTGAGTCTATAAATCTAAAAACGGAGAATAACAAATAGACCTCCCTCATATAGAGTTATTTGAGAATGACTCCATGAACATTGCACAATGACCAGTACATGAAAAGTGCTCGAAAAATGGAAAGTACTCATTCCTATTATCTACAGCCTCAGGCACACTGATGAGACACGAAAAAGATCTCATCTTGGCATCACATGTTTAAACACAATGATTACAGTGGACTGTTGAACATCATGGGTTTGAACTTACACGTGGACTTCTACTGTATAGTACTCTAAATGTATTTTCTCTTCCTTATGACTTGCTTGATAGCATTCTTTTCTCTACCTTACTTTACTGAAAGAATATATAATACATATAGCAAATAAAAAATGTGTTCATTGACAGTTTATGTTATCAGTAAGCCTTCTGGTCAAGAGCAGGCTGTTAGTGGTTATGTTTTGGGGAAGCCAAAAGTTATACATAGATTTTTGACTATGCGAGGGATGGGCACACCTAACCCCCATGTTGTTCAAAGGTCACTGTAATTGAAAGCAAGATGCACTTCCCCAACCATATTTAGTTTGAAACAACTTAATTACCTTAATAATTACAATAGTTCTATAATCCCTAGAAACTTTAATGTTAACACAAATACAAATTAATTTTGTGCCAAAAGATAACAATATTTTGTTGCATGTTTACTTTATTTATAGCCACAGTTTGATTTCACAAAGATACAGCTCAGTTGCTTTCCAAATCTAAAGTGTACATTTTGAAAGTAATGGGCAAGCGAATATTTCCTTGAAAGTTGTAGGTACTTTAAAGCAAAGCACGGTACCAAAGCCAATACTGGCTTTATCCAGCACAGTCTATTTTTTCAAATGTGATCCTTTATTGAACAGTTTCTCCTTTTACAACACTACAGACCCTATAAGGGTGTTGACTCAATGCCGTCAAATTATAAGGCAAATATATTCACAGGATTTAAGGACAACTAGGCTCTTTGAGTCAATATAGGAAAAAAAAACTTAAACTGATTTCCTGAGGAAGGGACCCAACTGACTTGTAAAAACTTGTAAATTTGCAAATCTACTAAGCCTACATAATAGTGGCAATTGATTATCAACTAAAAAATGCTCTCATACTACATAAAAGGCTTTATTTAATATTATATCGAAGGTCTTTAGTTTGTAGGCTCAACAGATCTTTCTCTAGGAGATTTCTGATCTAGTGGGGGATTTCTGAGTCCCATTTACACTGCTTAGCTTGGATAATGTGGAGCTTTTTTCCTTTCTGGCCACAAGTGCTGTTCCTTAAACATCACTGAGACCTTATTTACAAGAACAAGCCAAAAAATGTCCAGATACCACAGGCATCAATTTGTAGAAGACTAAAATACTGAGCTATTAGCACTGACATTTATACATCTAGTTTATCATAATATTGAGGCTAAAATGCTTTCCTAATGCAACATGAGTAAGAACAAATCATGTCACTAAGAAAATTACCCAATGAAATCACTGTCCAATTAAAAAGAAACAAACATGAAGTTTGTCACTTAATGTGTGTGTGCATTTGTCTTTTCAAATGGAATAGTCTATCAGTGTTCTGTTTTTTCTTTCTCTTTCTTCCTCCCTACCACCTGCCCCCCAACTCCCTAACTACCACTTACATTTATCTATAGCATTGGGGAATTAACCACCCAAGTACAGGTTTTTTTCCTAATAAAGATACTAAAGAAACTAGTACTATCACTGGTCAACTGAAAACAGCAGCAACATTTATCCAACAAACATTTATTGAGCACCTATTATATACCAAGCACTGTGGGAGGCAGTGAGAACCCAAAGATAAAAAACCTATAAGCCATGGGGCGCCTGGGTGACTCAGTCAGTTAACTGTCTAACTTCGGCTCAGATCATGATCTCACGGCTCACAAGTTCGAGTCCCACATCGGGCTCTGTGCTGACAGCTCAGAGCCTGGAGCCTGCTTCGGATGCGTGTCTCCCTCTCTCTCTGCCCCTTCCCCACTCACTCACTCACTCACTCACTCTCTCTCTCTCTCTCTCTCTCTCAAAAATAAACATTAAAAATAAAAAAGAAAGAAAAGACAAAAAGAAAAATATACAATCCAGGTCCTAAAAAAGCCACCACCCTACTTTAAGAACATAAAAGACCATCAGAAACGTTATTTTAAATAACTGAGAGTCTGACAAAGGAGACAGCAGATCAAGAAAAGGCCCTCACAGAACTTCACCACAAAGTTTCCCTCTGTTCTGTTAGAATTTAGTGGGCAACCCTGAAGAGGACACAGTTACTAGAATACTTAATTCTAAATAACCCAGAAATGTACACCCTGAAGATAAAGTTATGGTGAGACAATGCTAAAATCTTTCCTTTCTTCACTTTTAAGAGCATCCTTAAGATTATTATCCAGTAGTCATCTATCATACATGCGATAATACTCTCACTGCTACCGTTTAATTTCTTTTATGTCCTTCAGTGAGCTACATCATCTTTCCAGTTCTCATATTTTATTTTTGAAAATGGAATAAAAATTTCCTAATAACAGTAATACATACTCATTTCCCAAACATTCTGGCGTATATCCTTCCAATATCTAAGCAACTGAAGGACAAAGGCATTAACATCATACATACTTGCAATTCCTTTCACCTCAATCACACTACAACTCTGCTTAAACATGGACTTAACAATCCTTTTTTTTTTTTTTTTTAATTTTTTAAATGTTTACTTTTGAAGGAGAGAAAGACAGAGTGTGAGCAGAGGAGGGGCAGAGAGAGAGGGAGACACAGAATCCGAAGCAGGCTCCAGACTCCAAGCTGTGAGCACAGAGCCCGACACAGGGCTTGAACCCACAAACCGTGAGATCAGGACCTGAGCCAAAGTTGGATGCTCAACCAAATGAGCCACCCAGGCTCCCCTGGGCTTAACAATTTCTAAGGACAGCCACTTTATTGATCATTCATTCATTTGGTTATATAGGAGTGCTTATTATGGCCAGGCACTGTCCTGGGTGCTGGGGACCCAAGGAGCTTACATTATAGTAAAGGCAAGAGACTGACAAATAAAATAACATAGTATGGCAACTGCTAATAGATCTTAGGGAGAAAAATAAAGGGCACAGGAGGGGAAGTACTATTTTAAACAGGTAAGCCAAAGACCTTCAGAAGGCTAAGGGGCAAGGAAATCTGGGAAAAGCCTTCCAAGCAGAAGAAACTGTAAGGGCAACGTCATTAAAGGAAGATTATGCATAGCAGTTAAAGAAAAGCCAGGAGGCCAGAGTGGCTGAAATGAGTTAACAAGAAAGGGAAACAGTAGGGAATGAGGTTTAAAAAGCTAGGAACCAGATCACAAAGGGTGTGCAGGTCACATTTTATAAGGTTAATATGGGCTGCTGCAGAGAATAAACTACAGAGTCACATGTAAAGCAGAGAAGCCACTGAGGAAGCTACTGTAAAAATCTAAGAAAACAAACAAACAAACAAAACCATCATACATACTTGCAATTCCTTTCACCTCAATCACACTACAACTCTGCTTAAACATGGACTTAACAATCCTTTTTTTTTTTTTTTTT